GGGAAAGAGCAACTTGCTGCAGTTCCTCTTTAATGGGAAGGATAAGTAAGAACAAAATAACTCATTGTCTGAATAAAGCTGAGGCAAAGGACAGCAAAGGGCTGATAGAAATGCAATGCCAAGTTTCTTACCTGGGATGCTCTGCTGTGCTGGTGTCCTCAGTGGTGACTTTAGTCAGGAGAGAGCAGTGGTTGCTGGTTTTGGGGGGATGTGTTTCCATGTTGCCCTGTGTCCCCTTGATGAGGTCTGACTCTACCATTCCAAGCCATCAGGACTGTCCTCCAGGTCTGGCTTCAACAGGAAGAGTAATGGTGACATGGGAACTTGATCAACCTTGAACTTGGCAGACCCGTGGTTGATCTTTTGGATCCTTATTGCACTGCAGCAGGGATGTGAGGCCTTCAGCACCACGTCCAATCTCTGTCCCAAGACCTCTCCTGTCTTCACAGTATGAAGGACTGGGATCTTACCCAGTGGAAGAAGAGAAGCTGGGGGATCTGTTGTCTGGTCACTTGTAGGCTGAGCACAACTCACAGGTCACCATGGGAGGAGCAGGAGACAGCTTATCTACATCATGACAGTGTTTTTTGGCTTGGTCTTTGCTGCTTTTCCTCTGCTTATTTTCTGGTCAGGGGCTGTTCTTTCATAACAGCAAGGGGTGAATGGGAGATGTCATTTACTTGGACTTGGGTGGTGATTTCTAACCGTGCCTGTCCCGGGCAGGTGTGCTGCAGACAGAAGGATTACTGGCAGTTTGTGAAGGACATTCGCTGGCTAAGTCCTGGCTCTGCTCATCACCTGGAGAAGGTGGGTTCCGGCTGGGTGGCCTTGCGTGCCCGGAGGGGAGGGGAGAGGGCAGCTGGGCTCTGGGCCTCGCTCTTGGGATTGATCGCCTTGACTGTTGGCCTGCCAGGGGGGAAGCGGCTCCACGGCTGGTGGAGGCTGAAGCAGCCGCCTGTTTGTGGAGCAGCCACGTCCCGGGAACTCAGCGTGGAGCTCGGTGTGGCCTGGGCTGAGACAATTAGCTGATTATTTCTCCCAGGCCAATCTCCAGCTCAGCTTGGCTGGCTGCAGTGGGCATCACCAAGGGAACGGGCACAAGTGGCGCTTGTGTGTCTGCAGGGATGATTCATCCCTCTGCAAACCTCTGAAGGTCTGGGCTGTCCCATTCTGGGTTGTGCCTTGACTCTGCCTTTGGTTCTCCTGGGCTCGTGCCAGCTGCTGGCACACAGCATTGCTCCTGATCCTTGGCTACCCTGTGCTGACTTCCATAGTCCCTGCCATGGATCGGCACAGGGGGCTGACAGCCGGTGGTGCCTATGTCCAGCCTGCTGCTGGGGGTTTGTGGGGTCTGACTACTCCAGCTCTTCAAGCTGCAGCAGCCCGGGCGTTGCTGTAACCTTCCTCAGAAAACGTGTCAGCGACAACATGACCGTCACCACCAGGGTCAGGCTGGATTTGGTAGCGTGGGGTCCCTCTGGTTCAGGGGCAAGGCACACAGGTGGGAGAGCATACAGGAGAAATTCACAGTGCTGGTGCCTGTCAGAGGACTTTGGTCTCTGGCTGACCTTTGAAGCATTCTTCCTGCCCAGTTGGTGGTTGGGGAGCTGCTGGGATGTGTTCTCTGGCGGTGACCGGTGCCGGAAAGCTGCTGTTATCAGGGGGACCGAAGCTGTGCGGCAGAACAGCCCCAGCTCTCCCGCTTGCCTCCACGTGCCTTAACCTGTGCCTGTTGTCCCTTCCCAGTTCATCAGCCTGCAGGAGGGCGGGCAGCGTGCCACAGAGGGCCCGGGGGAGCCGGCCATCGCGCAGCTCTGGCTGCAGCACAGCCTGCAGTGCCACTGCCTGTCCGCGCAGCTGCGGCCGCTCCTGGGCAACCGCCAGTACATCAGGAAGTTCTACGCAGGTAAAGAGATGTGGGCCTTCTCTTTCTTCTTAGGAAAACATCTACCTGCTGGTGTTTCCAGGCAGTGTGAGAGTGAGGGGGGACTGCAGAAAAGGTGGTTTGCATGTGAACAGCCAGCGCTGTCAAACCATGTTTGGTGAGAGGGACCCCCCCGAGCAGCAGTCTTCTCTCCCCAGACACTGCCTTCCTGCTCAGTGACGCCCACGTCACGGCCATGCTGCAGTGCCTGGAGGCTGTCGAGCAGAACAACCCCAGGCTTCTGGCTCAGATCGACACCTCCATGGTGAGTTGGGATCCTGGCTTTTCCATCTGGCTCTCCCCAGGTGCTGGCTGGCTGGGGCTGCTCGTGCGAGGTCTTGTTTGGGGCACGCGGAGCCCTTAGACAAGGGGCTGGATTTGGAAGGAGCTGCCTTTGCGAGCCTGGCAGAGGTAGGGGTGGGGGGAAGCTGGCTGTGTGATGCCTGTAGTGGGACACCTTGGTTGTGTCCGGCATCAAGGATTTGAGTATGAAGATCTGAGGACCAGTTCCATGTAGGAAGCACCTCTAAAGCCCTCTGCAGCAGTGTCAGGCTTTGGGGCCAGCAAGCAGAGCTGCCTGGTTGTGAGGGACAGCCACCCTCCGGGGGGACAGCAGCACCCCAGGCCACCTGGGTGCCCACTGCTGCTGGTGATGCAGCCCCGTGCCAGCTGCCCCCTTCCTGGAGGAGGGGAACAGTGGCTGCTTTCTTTGCACAGAGGTCCTCAGAGGAGATAAATGGATGAGGCTCCATTGAATGGGGGCTGTGTTATTTCAGCTGGCTGGCACGTCACTGCCATCCCTGTGCGCATCAGATCCTTCTGCTGGGACAAGAGAGATGTGTGACCACAACGCTGAAGGACACGAGTGCCGTGTGCCTGGGGCGCCGGCCTGCCTGGATCACTTCACTGAGAGACTGGTAATTTCCCAATGGGAGCCCGCTGTGTATCTGCCAACCAAGAGCCGCTTCGCTCTTGTACTGCCCCGTTTTTCCCTCCCCACCCTCCTGCCTCCTGTGCTGCCACATCCTTTGCTGGCTGGTGACCAGGCACTGGCAGGTCGATTCCTTTCCGCTGCTGTTCCTTTGACGTATAGTCTCATAAATGCTGATTTATTAATGATGTCACCTCTCCTCAGCTTACCAGGAAGAGCGAGGGTCTGGCGGTGACCAAGAGTCAGAGCCTGACTGCCCTGCCTGCGGCCCCGTACGTCCCTGCTGCAGGCTGCACGCAGCAGCGCTGTTTTGGGTCCTTCTCCAGCCTCCACCATCCAGACTCCTCTGGCCTCTCAGGTATTGAGGGTGGACTGAGAAGCTCAGGATATACCCAGAAACTGTGCCTTTTTTTCTGGTTTTGGATTCGTTGCGGGGGATGGGTACAAGAAGATCTCTACCCATCCCTGGAGCCCCCAACACAAGAAGGATGTAGATGTATTTGAGTGTATCCAGAGGAGAGCCACAAAAGTGATTAGAGGGCTGGAGTACCTCTGCTATGAAGACAGGCTGAGAGAGTTGAGGTTATTCAGCCTGGAGAAGGGAAGGCTCAAGGGGAACCTTGTAGCAACCTTCCAATACCTGAAAGGGGCCTATAAGAAAGCAAGGGAAGGTATTCTCAAGGGTTAGTAGTGACAGACAAGGGGTAATGGTTTTAAGCTAGAAAAGGGTAGATTTAGGTTAGACATTAGAAGAAAGTTCTTTAATATGAGGGTGGTTGATCATTGGAACAGGCTACTCAGAGGGGCGGTGGAGGCCCCATCTCTGGAGGAATTCAAGGTCAGGCTTGATGGGGCCCTGAGCAACCTAGTTAGTTAGAGATGTCCCTGCTTATTGTAGGGGGGTTGAACTAGCTGACCTTTAGAGGTCTTTTCCAACACAAAACATTATATGTTCTACCTGTGAGGGGATGGAGATCCCTGGCCTTTGCCCATTGTGGGAGGGCATGCCGGTGTGAAGCCACAAGCTAATTGTAGGGTGGTCTGCTTGTGCCACGGTGTGTGACATTTTGCTCCTGCCTCTGTTCAGACAGGAGACCAGCAAGCTCCTCTGTCAGCTCCAGTGCCAGCCAGCCCCAGGAGCGCTGCCCGTCCAGCCGGTCTTCTTCCTTCAGTGAGGGCAGGTCCCCTCTGCAGCAGCCTAGCTCTGTCACCTGCTTCCCCGTCCCCTCACCCAAAGAGCCCTTCTCTCCGGCCAGTGAGATGAGCTCCAGCACCACCAGCCAGAGCGAGGACGTGTGGGCGGGGAGCCAGGACGACGCGCAGAGCGACGTTAACGACGGGCCGGAGTACCTGGCCATCGGGAACCTGGGGCGCCGGGGCCGGGCCTGCAGCAGCACCAGCACCAACAGCACCAAGAGCAGTAGCTCCAAACTCTTCTCCTCCAGCAGCTCCCAGAAGCTGGACTCCATCTCGTCGCTGGGGGAGCAGGGAGCAAGCGGAGGTGGAGGCAGAGGCCTGAGCCTGTTGCGCCGATCCAGCTTCTCGGAGGGACAGTCGTCGGCTCCCCAGAGCCTTCTCAAGAAGAGCCACGTGCGCTCGCACTCCGACACGAACGTGGCCTCGGGGAAGTCGCACGGTAATGGGGCAGCTTCTGTGGGCTGCCTTTGGGGTGTGGGAGTCCCTGGTACCGGCAGGCTGATGCTGACCGCTGCTTTGACCCCATGGATCAGGTTGGCGAGAGGTTGGGAAGTTTGGTCTGCCCTTAGCTTTCCTGCTCTGCACTGGAGTGACGGGCTGACTTCTTGCTTCCCAGAAAGCCCTCAGCTGGTCTGTTACTAGTATTGGCAGTTTTTACGAAAAAGTTAGAAAATGGCAGCAATGCTGTGACAGTAGCCATCCTTGTTTCCTACTGGCCTTGCCCAGCTGGGGCATGGAGCCATGGCAGGGTACTGGGCTGGGGCTTGGGCTCATCCTACTAGTAACCTGCTGGGTCCTTCTGTGCTCTTCAGTGGGTGAATGCATGGTGTGGGGGGAAGAGGGATGTGAGAGGACAACCACTTTGTGGGAGTCTGCCCTACCAGTGCTGCCTTCATGGGAGAAGGGGAGGTCCTTGCTGAGTAGTAACTAGACTGTCTCTGTTTTTTCTCCCTTAACGCTGCCCTCCTCCTCCTCTGTCTGCTCAGGAGGCCTCAGGGATATCACCATTATAATAGAAGATCCAGTGGAAGGTTTGGGAGCCAGTATAACAGCCTTTCATTAGTGATCATTGCATCAAGTTCAAGATTTCCATCAATCCATTAGTGTCCATTTAGAAAACAAAAAAGATTGTTTCTTTTCTGTGTCCTAGATGGTGCTTTGAAGCATGAGCAGGTTTATGCATGTGACCTCACTGAAGACCCCAGCTTGGTTTTTGGGAGCAATAGACCTGATCCAGAACGGCACCCAGCTCCCCTGCATGGTGTTAGGGATTGCTGGCCACCAAGCCCCTGAGCTGTGTCCCCTGCCCTTCCCTCCACCCCACTGCCTTGGGAGCCAGGAGAAGTTTTCTCTCTCCCCCAGAAAATAAAGGCTGGCAGCTAAGCTAAGTAGGCTTAGTTTTCCTTTCATTTAGTGGATCTGTGGCACAAGGAGGTTTGATGTTGGCTGGGTTGAGGCCCATCTCAACCAGCCATGCTTGCACCCACAGCCAGGACTTCCAGGTGCTTTTCTGGGCTTGAGGAGGTTTCTCCCTGAGCAGAGGTGCTGGGGTGCTGCCATGCCTTTGCCCCACATGCAGAAAGAATCAGCAGCTCAAAAAAATTGTGCCATTTTCTTTTGCATCCCTTGAACAGCAGCACTGGGTTTGTTGAGCTCACATCTGGGTGCTGAGGGCTCTGCAGCTGGGAAGGCTCCTTCCTGGACATGGTGGGCATTCAGACAGACATGTCCAGCCTGGTGTCCTGCTCCAGCAGAGGATGCTCAGCACTGCTTTGCTTTACCCTTCGGCAGCAGGCTCTGTTGTACGTGGCATCCCCCAGGCTGCTGATCGTGAGACTATTTCTGTGATGGTTTTCAAGAGGGTTGAGGTGGCTGTAGGATACCCTGCCAGGCTGCAGCAATTAGCTATGAGAGCCTCCCAGCCCGAGAGGTCTCCTTCATCACCCAGCCTCTGGGGTGGGTTAGTCCCAGACCCCATCCTGGTGGCTGCTGCTTCATTGTCTTGGCAGGGAGATGCTTAAATGAGTGAGCTCTGGAGCCTCCAGCCACATCAGGCTTATGGCACAAAGCTGATAGCAAAGAGGAGTAGGAGGCTGAGAGGTTGCCCTTCTGTTGTAGCAGCCAGTGCTTGCCCCGTGTCCACACCAGTGTGCTCCTGTTCGGGTGTTTTCAGTCTCCTTCAGCAGCCCTCCATCATGCAGCTGCTCCATCCGGGCGCTCCCTGGGGCTGTGGCTCCCTGCAGAACACCAGCCCTTCCTTGCTGGTCCCTGGTCAGGCCAGCTCCTGGCGGTCCCCACCGGCTCAGCCTGGCAGGGAGCAGCACACGGTCCGTGCGTGGGGCAGAGCCCTGCCCGCAGCCTGCGTAGGTCACCTTGAGCACTGCAGCCCAGGCTCCAGGGCTGTGTGCAGGGAGCTCTGGCTTCTAGTTCAGCAAGAGCCTGTCCTTCAGATGCCTCCTTCCACTCTTGTCCAGGCTGCTTTGCAGGGCTGGGAGCCCCACAGAACCCTCAGCTGCTCAGGTTTCCCCTTGCCTCATGACTCTGCCCTGGGAGATAGCTCTTCTCTTGGAGATGTGCCAGCAGAAAGAAGGGGCTGGCAGAGTTGCTTTATGGAGCATGTTGTATCCTCCAGCTCTGCTAGGGCATAAAGAGTGGAAGCCTCAGAACTCAACTGCTCCACGGCTCTCAGATTCTCTCCTTTCCCCTTCTCCTCTTCTGCCTGAAACACCTTTCTAGTTTTGTCCCCTCCTGGGCTTGCCCTCAGCTGTTGAATGGAGCAGGAAGATGTCCCTCCTTGCTTCCCATCCATTTGTGCCTGCCTGTGTGATGCTGAGTCCTTTCATTTCACCCTGTACCACGGCTGGACACCTCCAGGATACTGATGTGTGCCTGGTGTGGTCTTCTCTTCCAGAGTCCCATGGCGACCCAGGTGGAGGGAGGGGGTTGGTCTCTGCTTCCACCCAGAGCACTGAGCTGAACACACCCAGCTCCCTCTACATGGAGTACGGTGAGTACATCCTGGTCAGGCTGCTCCATTGGCTGCCATGGCCTCAGCTTCTGGCACCTTCCTGTGGGATGTTTTTTGCCCACTGACAGGGCTCATTAGTGTGAGGACAGCAGCAGGTCCCTCCCTCACACATTCCTCTCTTGGTTTTCTAGACTCTGGACAGTACCTGAGCTCGGGGGAAGGGATTTTCCGAAGACCCTCAGAAGGACAGTCCCTTATCAGCTACCTCTCTGAGCAGGACTTTGGGAGCTGTGCAGATCTGGAGAAGGTGAGGGAGGCAGCAGCAGCCTGTGTGCATTGGGAAATGTACCTTCCTGCATGTTCAGTGATACTCCCCTCCATGGGGAAGATAATCCTGTAATATTTCCTGCTATAGAGCTGTGCACAGAACTTGAAGGTTGAGTTCCTGATTGTCTGACAGCTAGGATCTGCCCATCCAGCATATATACAACAGCTTTGAAACACATTAGGGCTCCTCAGGGACGTGTGCTGACTCGCTAGAGTGGATTTGTTGCACATTCTCTTTGTAGGATACCCCTTGTATTTTACGAGTATTCTGGCACCCACAAAGGCTTTAGTTTCTAAGTACTCATAGAAGAGTCAGGTTTCATAGGGTTGACAGGGATGTCTTCTGCCACCCTCTATGAGTAATAAGCTCTTCTGTGTCACAGGTGGGGATCAAGATTTTACCAAGTCTTCCCGCTTCCTCTCTGGTACAGCCCTGAATTCTTTTGCTCTTGCCTTGCAGGAGAATGCCCACTTCAGCATCTCAGAGTCCCTGATCGCCGCCATTGAGTTGATGAAATGCAACATGATGAGCAGGCAGCTGGAGGAGGAGGAGGAGGAAGACAGTGACAAGGAGATTCAGAAGCTCAAACAGAAGATTCGCATTCGGCGCCAGCAGATCCGCACCAGGCACCTGTTTCCTACCTGCCAGGAGATGGGCTCAGACAGTGGGTGATGTGTTTTGGGCTCACCAGCTAGTGGGGTGTGGGTGTTCTGTCCATCGCCTGTCCTTAGAGCATCCCACCTTCCTGCTATTTGTGGGAAACAATCATACTGCTACCAAGGTGCTCCAGAGGTTTATGAAACTCTGCTGCCATTGAAGACCATCATGAGACTGATACTGTACACTGGTAACACTGGTGTTCTGCTGTCAATAGGTTATGGAATTAATTTGATTTTTGACCCATAGTGTTTTCCATCCTTGACCTCAATCCCTCCCTGCCTTAGCTATCAGCTTCTCCCTTAGCTGTCAGTGACCCTTCAGACCACTGCCACTGATGGCCTGGCTGTATGGCATTCCTCCCAGGTCTTGTGGACAGCGGATCCCTGTTCAGCTCCCACGGCTCCATGCGCCTCTCTGACTCCGGCTCCGCAGAGGATGTGGAAGAGTTCGAGATCCGAGGTAGGAGGGAATGCCTGTGTTGGCTTCTTGCGTAGGGACAGACTTCTCCTTGGTGTGGTTGTGCGAGGCCAGTCCCAGTGAAGAACAGTGTCCCTCTCTGACCTTCAGGATGGCTTTTCCCAGACCAATGGCTGAATTCTGAGCATGAGCAGAGCAGCCAGTTTCCCTCATGTGGTGGCATGACTTTCCTTCAAAATTCTCTAACCCTCTAGCATTCAGTACCTTTGGCTGGTAGGTGGTTTCCATTCCATTCCCTTGTCCACATAGTGGCTGTCACAGCTGGAGAGAGGTGGGAGAGCTGCCATTCTGCTCTCTCCCTTCCCAGGCAGAAGGAGTTGTAGCTCTGACCACTTACCTCATGGATGGCAGTGGTGGACACTGATCACAACCTGACCTGTAATATGTATAATCTCTGCTCCTGGCAGCTTGGTTGACTGAGCTTATTGCCCACAGGAGACCTGTCTGGATCCCTGGTTGCCCCTTTCCTTCAGAGCCTTGTTCATTATCTGAGGTGGATGACTGATTTCTTAGCAGTAACCTCCACCTCACTGACTTTAAGAAGATGGAGCAGCCCAGTCTCCAGCTATAAGCTTCCCATCTCTTGACTGTTGACAGCAATACCCTCCTTTCAATCCCTGAGGGCTGGATTTTAGGCTTGGTTTTGAAGCCCATGGAGGAGTGTATGAATTCAGTTCTGGCCTTCTCTCATACAATTGCTGCTCTTGTTTTATGCCCTTTTCTCTTTGGCTTGGCCAAAGCACTGAAGTCAACTGTTTTGTCATCACCATGTTGTACAGATGGTAACGATGGATCTAACCTGATTCAAATGTCCAAGAACGGCCTCTCAGTGTCAATGGCTTCCTTGTTCTCAGGTAGTACCCCGCAGTGCTCCCCTGCAGCGTGTGTGTGTGTGTGTGTGCAAAGGTGTGTGTGTGAGCATGTGCACACTTCTTAGAAATCTGCCTGACTTGAGAACTCTGAACAGTATCATCCAGACATCAGCAAGAAACGCTGTGGCAGGATGGAGCAGAGGGGAGCCAGAGGAGCTCTGCTGTGGGCTCCATGACCCAGCTCACTTTGCCAGGCAATATTTTGGGCATACCAAATGTGCCTGCTGTGGTGAAGACCTGTCTTACTTGGGGTAGGGCTTGGCAGGACAATGGCACAGCTCTGGGGCTGTCTAGCTGCTGAAACCTGAGCCTGGGCTGGTTGAGAGCAGACTCCTCTATAGTGCAGGAGCAGGTCTCCATCCCAGTTGCCTTGGGGAATGTTCCCTGCTTGACTCAGCAGAGCTGGCGTGCTGTAGCTCTGATCAAACCACGGCCAATCCTTACTGTCCTGCTCAGACTTGACATGAGAAGAATCCTTCCAGAAAGAAGTCCTAGAGGGAGAAGCAGTGAGAGCAGAGGGGGCACAGTCAGTTTGTTCACACTGGAGGCCCTGGGCACAGGGATCACATGCAGGCAGGTGTTGCTAAGTGGTTTTATTGTTTACAGTACTACTAGATAATCCTTCTGGTCTGCTGGCTGTGTTTAAATAACCTTCATGTGCTCCCTGTTTGCTTTAGCAAGGGAACAGCCTACGTGGGCTGCTGCTGATGTCTCCTGCCAGGTGTTTGGCACCAGCATGTTGTTCCTGCTGGAGATACTGGTGCTTGGTGCTTCCCTGTCAGCCCTGCTGTGGCCTGTGTTTACAGCCCAGGGGAGGCTCATCCTAGCCTGGAGCTGGCAAGCAGGGACTGGGGTGACATCCTTGGGTTTGGGGGCTGTTCATGAGCCCCCTGAGGACAATTCCACGTGGTGATACTGGGCAGCTGACTGAAACCTTTTGGGAAGTGTCTGCAGTTAAATTTGTGAAGTGAGAAGTGGCAGGATCCCAGTGCTACCCTCTCTCCCCAGAGCCCGGGGTCAGATTGGACTCCCTCTGCCATCCCTGAGACACAGCCAGTGCCTGAGTGTGCCAGCTCTGCTTCCCCAGAACACTTGGCCCACACTGTGCTGTGTGTGCCCTGCTCTTTGCTTGTGGTCATTGTAGTGTAGCACCATGCAGCACCTTCCTGCACAGAGCCGAAGGCACCAGAGTGTGGCAGGTATGTCTGGCTGGTGCCCCCCACAGTCAGGGGGCTGCATTTCCCTGAATTCTCTGTTTTCTGCAGCTAGAAGTCCTTTTGCATGGTGTAGACCTGCAGATTCCTTAGCATTAGGAAGCTTTCTTGTGCCCATTTCTAGCAATGGATGTCAAACAAGGATGGTCAAACATCCATACTGAACTCCACCAGCATGAGTCTGTACATTTAGGGTCTGGACTAGGACTTGCTCCCCTTGCTGTCAGGGCAGCCCTGCTCTTCCCCAGGGAGCTGACAGTTCCAGGGGGATTTGCACTCTGCTCAGCCAGCCTGTGATTCCCATGGCCTCATGTGTGGTTGGTGCCTGGCTCTTCTGCTGACCACTTGCCCAACTAGGAAAGATGGTATCATCAACAGGCAAACCAGCAACCAATCCCTTTGCTTTTGAATAATACACCAACAATCCAAGGTGGCCCACCACTGGAGGAAGGAATGAGTTAATGCACTCACCCACAGCACATCGTGTGAAGAAGGAAGCAAGCTGACTCCAGAACTATGCCATGGTAGATGGAACCAGCCAGACAAGGAGTCCAACTATGTAGTAGCTCCCCAGAGAGAGACTCATCATCTTGCCCCACCATCCTGAAAGCTCCACTTGCTACAAGGCTAGGGAGCCCTTTCAGTAAGCAGAACCCCTCCAGCACATCCACTATGTAAGCAAACCTTCCAACTGCACAGCCAGCAGAGTCAGCTCTTGTAGAGATGGCTTCTTGTCCCACCTCCAAGTTAATGTGGAAGGTGGGGGCACCTGGTGGTGATCTCCTGATCAGTTCCAATCAGGAGGGTCCTGGTTGTGAACATCATCCATATGCCAATCCTCATCCAGGGCTGGGGGTTTAACCCCAGCACTTCACTGGCTGGGATCAGATGGGCTCTCTGGGGCCAGCCTCCTCGGGGTGGAGGAGCAGGGACCCCAAGCTGTGCCTTCCCTAGCTGAGCTCAGGGCCCATTGGCTGCAGGCGAGCTGCAAGCCTGTGTTTGGGGCATGCTGTAGTCACTGCAGACCCAGTTCCTAGAGCTCCCCAGGGGTACAAAACGGGAGACCTGCTGGGCTAAACATTGTAGCATTGGCCTCTCTTTTGTCCTGACCTGGAGTACATGCCCCTTACATGCCCTCCTTCCCTTTTCTGGGAGTTTGTCTGCAATGAAGCAGGGTTTCTGCCTGCCTTGTACTGCTGGAAGAGTCTTCTGTCCCAGTGTCCTTCTACCATTGGGATGAATTCCTTGTTGGGTTTTAACCTGCTGAAAGATGAGTGGTTACAGTACTGCTGGGTAGTGCCTGGCACCTGAGGCTGGCACCAAGGAGGGACATGGGGCACCTCAGGGCTGTTGGGGAGCTGATGGAGGTGTGGAGGCAGCAGGACCCCAGTGTCCTGCACCTTATCTTGAACACCTTGCTCCTCAGGAGAGGGGACTGTGTCCTCTGCAGAGGGCTGGACCTGTGGCTGCTGGCCCACTCTGCATGGCTACTGACATGTCTCTGGAGCTCCGGGCTGAGGCTGCCAGCCCTGGCCGTGCAGTCCTGGACAAGCTGTGGCTTGGCCATCCTCTGACCTTACAGCTTGCAGTCAAGTAGAGAGGAGGGCTCTGTGTCCCATTGCTAATCCCCTGCAGTATCTGTACTGTGTGTAGAGAGCTACTACCTTCTTGCTAACCTTTGCTGTCCTGCCCTTCTAGCTCTGGTGTGTGTACATGACATGGTTCAGGCCACATCACTGCTAGGACTTGGTGTGTGACCTGTACCAGCAGCCACTTGTCTCCCCCACGCCCCAGGCTCACTGTTCTCACAGCATCCCACCATGTCCTTCCCTTGTAACTCAGACAGGCGACTGAGTAGACTGCACCTCTCCTTGTGCTCCTTGCCACTGGTAGAAGTTGATGCTGTAGTTTCTGTGCTTTTGAACAGCTTGATGAGTTTTACAGTGAAGCTTTGGTTTGAAATGAGTGTATCCCCCTGTCCTGCCCCATCTGCTCCACCTTGTCTGTTTGATTCAGATGCAGACATCAAGAGGAACCCAGATTCCAGCAGGAAGTCCTTTCTCTCCTCAGAATCCATGTAAGTCTTTGACTTGTGGTGAGAGGTCTTGGTACCAGATTCCCCTTCCTGCTCAGCTCTGTGCTTCCATGTGCAATCAGCTGCTGTTTTGCACTGGTGTGGACATCCCTCCCTCCCCCTCTCCTTTCCTCCCCGTAGCAGTGGGGCAGTGGGTCCTAGTCTTAAATGTGGGGAGCAGCACCTCGGATGATCGGGATATTCACTTGAGGTAGAGATGATAAGGCATGGTGTGAGGAGAGATGCCCTTACCTCCTAGTAGATGAGAAGCTGGGGAGAGGACTTGGCTGAACCTGGAGCCTCTGGACTGGCTGCTGGCTCTGAGCCTCCCCTGCCTCCCCCCTCTCTGGTGGGACAGCCTGTTAGACTGGTGCTGCTGCCTTCTCTCCAGCCCTCGCTGCTGTGCTGTGACCCAGAGGTGGAACCGCTGGCACACAGAGATGCTCCAGACTCTGTGCAGGGCAGAAGGAATTCAAATGTGAAGTGCTGAGTCCTTTCCAGTACTGCCCTGGGGTTGAGAGGTGGGGGCTGTGGGGAGGTGAATCACAACCTATTTTAAGCATAGCTGCTGTGTTAATGCTCACAGGAAAAACACCTTTGGGATGCAGGGGCCTATCTGCTTGCTGGGTGAGATACAAAGCTGTGGCTGTGCTGGGCAGCACTTTGGGTGGGTTTGTACAGGCAGAGCAGTTCCTTCTGGCTCATACAGACACTGGCTCTCCCTTTGCAGCTTCCCCTCTGAACAGGCATAGGTTTTGTTAAATAAAATACATTTTGTTTGCCTTCCTAAACAGTTATCCCATTAGCCAGCTTTGTTTGGGGACAGCTGCAAAGTCAGAAGTCAATCACATATATCAATTTGAAGCCTGTGTAGCAGTGCAGAAATAAGGTACCAGAGTTGAAAGGATCTTTGGCTTGAGCTGGAACCAGCATCAAGAGTTCTGAGACGGGCACAGCTGTGAGACCTGAAACTAACCATTCCCTTTGCTGTCTAGATCCCACTCCTTCCTCAATTCCAACTCGGCAGAGGCTGTGGCCATGGGCTTGCTGAAGCAGTTTGAGGGCATGCAGCTCCCAGCTGCCTCTGAATTGGAGTGGCTGGTCCCTGAGCACGATGCCCCACAGAAGGTAGGGGTGCAAGTCCCCGGTCAGCAGTTGCATTTGATGTTCCCCAAAACCCTGGCTTCAACCCGCTGCTGAGGGGCTTTGATAGTCCCTGTGATGCCTTTGTGCAGCTGGAGGAGGGGGTTTGTCCAGCTCTGGAGATGGGTGCAGCTGAGTGGGATTATGCCGCCACAGGCTCCTACTGCAGAGTGCCTGGATCCCTAGGGACATCCCTTCTCCAGCCACCATTCAGCTGGAGCAGCAGCTCAGTGATGCAGTTTTCCAGAGGGTTTTCCTCAATTTTCCAGAGTGCTGCAGTTGCAGGTTTCTGGCAAGCCAGCCAGGTGCATTGCCTTTGCAGTACCGGGCAGGGATCTGACCTTCTTGCCTGCCTTTCCTAGCTCCTGCCAATCCCTGACTCTCTGCCTATCTCTCCTGATGATGGAGAACATGCTGACATCTACAAGTTGAGGATTCGGGTGCGCGGAAACCTGGAATGGGCCCCGCCACGACCACAGATCATCTTCAATGTTCATCCAGCCCCAACGTAAGGACCCACACAGTCAAGGGCTCTCTGGGAACCTGCCCTTTCCAACTGTTTTCCATCAATGCCAAGGTGGATTATCCTCTCCTTCCTGCTTGCCCAGTGGGAATTCCCTGCTCTGGGCCTGGTAAATCCATGGTGGGCACCACTGGCAGCTGGTGCTGTGAGATGGAACCAGTGCTTGTGGTCAGTGCCTTTGGTGTGCACCAAGGCACAACAGGGCTTTTCCCCTTGGATTTGTTGTCCGCACTTAAGTGGCAAAGCATGTGGCCATCTCTGCCATCCAGACGTGTGCCAGGTGCCGTCAAGGCTGGACTCATGCTTGTTGTCTTCTGTCTCTGGGCAGGAGGAAGGTGGCTGTGGCCAAACAGAATTACCGGTGTGCAGGCTGTGGCATCCGGACTGATCCTGGTGAGTGCTGGGAGCCTGACCTGTAGCTGGGGAGTGGGGAAGAACCTATGAACAAGTGGGAGGATGCAGAGTGGGTGGCTGGTGGCAGAGTCCAGCACAAGGTCGCTTGGGAAATGGCACGCTGCCTGTGCCAGCTCTGCCAGTGCGTTGGTGTGCACCACCCACCAGGAAGCCTTCTTCTCCAGAAGGTCTTGGGGCTGCTTGGGACAAAGAGCAGCCAGCCTGTCCTTTGGAGGGCATTTCAGATCTTGACTTTTCTAAGGCAAAGTCATGTACTTGGGGACTTAAAGCTCCCAGCAGTTTCTCCTGGGGGTGCAGCTGCAGAGCTCTTTGAGCTGGCATCTTCCTGAATGTGTAGGTAGATGTGGCTGCATAAAACTGGACTGTGGTCCCAAATGCTTTTGCAGTCAGCAGGGGTGCTTGCAGACCCCAGCACTGGGCGTGCAGGGGCTGGACGAGGCACCAGCAAGGCAGACCACCTTGCCAGTTGGGCATGCTGAGCAGTGCTGGGAGTCCAGGACGTGGCTGGGCAGAGCCCGTGGCTTGGCTCACCTCCCTCTCTGCCTGGGTCTGGCCAGATTGCATCAAGAGGCTGCGGTACTGTGAGTACCTGGGGAAGTATTTCTGCCAGTGCTGCCACGAGAACGCCCAGATGGTCATCCCCAGCCGCATCCTGCGCAAGTGGGACTTCAGCAAGTACTGCGTGAGCAACTTCTCCAAGGACCTGCTCGGCAAGATCTGGAGCGACCCGCTCTTCAACGTGCAGGATATCAATCCTGCCCTGTACCGGAAAGTGAAGTCTCTCAACCAAGTGTGGGTACGACCCTTTCCACACCACTCTGGGTGGGGTTTGGGTGAGCTGGGTGGCTGCCAGTTGTAAACTGTTCCAGAGAAGCTGGGCAGAAGCAGATATTTCGGGTTTTGAGGCTTGATACCTCAGCACTGTGGGTTTCCATTCACCTCTTGGTCTTTGTGCAGTAATACAGGATTTTCAAAAGGGATTTCTGCCTGGTGTCCAGCTGGGCTTCAGTTTATCTCCTGGACTGTGCAACGATGGGTGTGCTCGCTTTGCCCTGTGTGGTGTAAACACTTGGTAGCAGGGGAGCAGCCACTGGGGAGCAGCAGTTGTTTAACCAGTACAGGAAATGGGGCAGACCTGCTTGGCCAAGGGCCATGCTCTGTTTACTGATCCTTGTGTCCCCCCTTCCTCTCCAGCTGCTGCGAATCCAGCTTTTCCATATGAAGAACATGTTTAAGACGTGCCGGCTAGCTAAAGAGTGAGTCCTGGGCTGTGAGGTGAAGCTGGTTTGCTGTCCTGGATCCATCTGGTGGCAGTTTGCCCTGGGGACCTGTGCAGCCTGGGCAATGAGCAATGTGGGGAGAGGGGACTGGAGAGGGAGACAGAAGGAGTGGTGAGAGGGGGCTTGGTGGAGCCGCTTTGCTCTGAGCTCTGATTTCTCTGTCCTTGTAGCCTCCTAGACTCCTTTGATGCGGTGCCTGGTCACTTGACAGAGGATTTGCACCTTTACTCGCTGAGCGACCTCAGTGCCACGAAAAAAGGGGACCTGGTGCCTCGCCTGACGGAGCTCCTGAAGGCAGGCAACCTGCATGTTGAGAAGTGCATGGTAAGGCCTCCTTGCTGCCTTCTGCTCAGCTCTGCACCCTCAGGAGCACCCCTAGGAGCAGGCTTTGCTGCAAAGATAACCAATGGGGTGGCCTTTGGCAGCCATCAAATTAACTGATTAAATGCTAACTGCTCCTGGCTGCTCCACAGAGCTCCTACCCAGCACGTGTGGGATGTTTGTTACCCTGTTTTGGGTCTCCCCCATACCTGACCCATGTTGATCCTGCCTTGCTGTGCTCCATGCTGGGGAAAGGCTGTGCCACATGGTTAGAGCAGGGCACTGTGTCCTGCTGTTCTGCTCCACTCTACCTCCTGCCCTGCCTTCCAGGGAGATGAGGAGCATTTAGCTGCTTTTTTCCTCACCTTTTCTTCTTCCAGCTATGCCAAGCCAAAGGCTTCATCTGTGAGTTCTGCCAGAATGAGGGCGACATCATCTTCCCCTTTGAGCTCAACAAGTGCAGGACATGTGAAGGTGAGATGGTGGGCAGAAACAGGGAGGGTTGGACGCTGGGGACACTAAGGTCTGCCCCCAGTTTTGAGTGGCATTTGTGCTAGTGACAAGTAAAGAGCCAGCCAGACCACAGTGCCCCTGTGCATGGCCTGTGTCTCTGAACCATGTTATCACAGCACCAGATCAGCATTATAGCGGTGTTTGGTCAGAGCTGTTGGCACGGTGGAGTGTGTGCTGCCTGCCTGGGCTGCAGCAGGCAGTTGGGTTGTGACTACACCAAGAGGCTTCCTGGCTTCTCTTCTGCTGTGGTTACGGGAAGGCTGCAGCCTGCACGCAGCTCTGCTGCCCCTGTTTGGATGGCTGGAGCTGACCTTGTAGAGCAGAGAGCGTGCCTGCCAAGAAATCCCTGGACCCCTTCAGGAGTCATCCTTGATAATGGCCATCATTAATGGCCAAGCAAAACTTGTCCCTGCAGCTTGGGACCAGCCTCTGAACTGGCTTGAAATGGCTCCTGACAACATGCAGGCCTTGGTTTGGCAGGCACAGTGCCAGGGAAAACTTGCAACAGAGTCGCAGTTTCCTTGGAGAATAAGGAAAGTTTGGGGAGGGACCTTGCGTGGAGCAGGAAGCCTCCTGCCTGTGCTCCCAAAGGGTTTGCAAGCTGGGGCAGGGGCCCTGCAGCATGACTTCTTGCTGCTTGCAGAATGGTGCTAGGCCCTCACTTGTGGGGCTTGTTCTGCCATGGCTTTGGTTTGATGTGTCCTCCCGGACAAGCCTGGAGCATCCCTGCCCGGGGTGCGAAGCATCAGGCAGCCTGTGGCAGCTCTCAGTGGTGCTCTCCCCCGCAGAGTGCAAAGCCTGCTACCACAAATCCTGCTTCAAATCCACCCGCTGTCCCCGCTGCGAGCGGCTGCGAGCCCGCAGAGAGCTGCTGGCCAGGCGGAGCATGGAGTCCTACATCTCGGACTACGAGGACGAGCCGGAGCAGCCGGAGGCGGTGGCAGCCACATGAGCACGCTGCAGCAGAGGAGCAGGTCGTGGGCTTATTTCTGTGCCTGGCCGTGATCACCAGAGACAGCCACGTGGACTGGAGATGAAAAGGACTGTCGGGAGGCCTGGGGCACTGTCTCAAAGGGATCTGTTCTCCCCCCTGCAGTAGTGCTGGGGTGGGAAAGGAGCATGTGCCATCGTCTGGGTCTGCTCCAAGTACCACTCACCCTCCCTGGTGCCACTGCTTGGGGAAAGGTGGCTTCTCCTGCCTGTCCTGCAGGCAGAACAGGGACCTCTTCTGAGCAGTTGGGCATGCTGGACCAGGCAGGGCTGTGCCACCAGTCCGTGTGCCCTGCTCCACAGCAGGGTCCCCTTGGGGGTCAGCGCTTTCTGCTCGTCAGCTGGCTACTAGGAAGCTCTGGCCACATCTGCTCCTTGGAGGGGGGAGTTAGCTCTCCAAGTCCTCCAACACTCTGTCCTGCTGCTGGGGGTTGTTTGTGTGGAGGGAGGGTGGGGGTTTGGGGTGGGTTGTGCATTTAACAGCTCCCTTTCTCAGATCTGGCTTGGGACGCTGCTGGAAGGTATTTGCTCTCACTCCAGGGTCAGAGCAGAGGAGGTGGTGGTGGTGAAGATGCCGGAGTTCTGCCTGGCCTCTCGGCGCTGTCTCTGCTGAGGTGCTTTCCCTGCCCTCTGCAGCCTGTGCTGCCAAGGGGCATTGCCCCTGAGCAGCTCAGTGCTGCTGGGATTTTGGCAGAGGCAGATCCCCATGGCCAGAGATGTGGTAATTGAAGCTTCTAACCCTGCTTCCTCCTTGTGCTGCCGGCCTGTCCTCCAGGGGGGAACATCTCTTCCTCTAAGGGTGACATGGGACCTCACTCTGGTGACACCAGGACCTGCCTTGTGTGCAGCTGCCTTCTGCCTGAGACCTGTTGGGGTGCTGGTGAAGGCTCAGCCCTCCAGCCACATGTCCCGAGCCTCTGTCTCAGTGTGTTCTTTTAGGTTGGGTTTTTGTTTTTTAATCTCCTGGATTTGGTTTTATTTTTTTAATGCGGTTGTTTGTATTTTTAACTGTATGTTCCCTTCCCCCCCCGCCCCCCGCAAGGAGGTGCTGCTTGAAATGCCTCTTTAGGGAACATGATCTGCTTGGGACTCAGCAGTAGATCATCTCCAGGCCTGTCCTGCTGCTGGTTCCTCACCCCTGGATGGAGCTGGCGTTTGCCAGGTGCCCCCTCTCCCAGCAGATCTGCTCCCCTTGGGAGAGGTGTCCCTGAGGCAGGCAAAGCCTGGAGGCTCCCCCGCTACCATTCAGCAGGGTAGCCAGGCAGGCTGCCTGCACTGGGGGGTGCACAGGGGAGAGGGGTTTGGCACTGGGGTGCTGCAAAGGGTCAGCCCTCTGCTGATGCAGAGCTGCCTGCCACGACCGATGGCTCCACAGGGCCAGAGCTGGCTGTCCGAGGTGATCTCTGTGCCTCGGGGCTGGCGGTCAGTCGAGGAGGTGTCTCTGCATGACGGGGGGCTGCTGTAGCCCATGGCACAGGTGAGTGTCCAGCACCACCTTAGCACGGGCAGGGTGTGGGGTGGCAGTGGGGTGTTGGGAAGGATGGTGGGGCCTGTGTACGTGTGAGAATGGTGTTGAGGGACTGGTGAGCAGTAGGGTGTCAGGAGGGCAGAGGCAGTGACTCTCGCAGTGTGTGGCCTGGCTTGAGGCTGGGATGTCACCCCTTGTGGGCTGTCCTTGCAGGGGTGGCAGTGTCAGGGAAGGGGGAGAGGCTGGGACCAGGAGAGGTTACCACAGGGCTTGGTCAGGGAGGGTGGCTGCAAGCCCTGCTGCTGGGGGCCAGGTTGCTGCACAGCGGCATCTCCCCTGCTCTGCAGCGTCCTGACAAAGCCAGGTCTAGCCTGAGAAAGGGGGTTCAGCTCCCCACTCCCTCCCCTGGGATTTTTGCCTCCTGTCTTGGTTCTGCTTGTTTTCCCCAGGGGAGCAGCTGCTTTCCCACTTACTCTGTCTCTCCAAGCCCTGGGGCTGCCAGACGCTGGCCACCTTGGTCTTGCCTGTCCTCACACCAAGCCCTCCCAGAGCTGGTACCCCTGTCCCTGTAGTCGCCTCGGCAGCACACCTCCACCCACCCTGTTTTGTTTGAAGCACTTTAATGTCATGGGACAGCAGCAGAGGCTGTCTGCATCCCTTTCTAGAAGCACTGAGTGTATTTAGAGAAGAGGAGAGGGATTTTGGCTTACCTGTCACTTCCACCCTCTGCCCTGGACTATCTCTGGAAGCAGCAGGACTTGCAAAGCCAGCAGAGGTCTCCAGGGCAGGGTTGTGCCCAGCACTGACCATGGCAAGGAATGCTGGAACTGGCCACGGCAGCGAGCTCTTTGTCAGGGAGGGCAAGGGGCTGCCCTGGCTGCCAACTGGAGCCCTCCCCATGGGACTATTGCACAGCCTAGCAACGAAAATACCGTCCCTAATAAACTGAATTAATAAAGGGCCTGGTTGTGTTGTGACATCATTTCAGGTGGGGTACCAATGTGTATCCCCCCCTTGGGGCCAGCTAGAGGGATGCAGGAAGTGATGGCAGGGGGCAGTGGGGGGACAACTTGTGCAACTGATGTTGCATCACCAGCTGTCACTGGGAAAGGGTTATTGTCACCACCCCTTGACTAATTCATCTGGCTTGTGGCCTCCCCCTGCAGACTGCCCACCGGACTTGGGGCACAAGGTACAAGTCACTGAGTAAGAGGCTCGGTGTCCCTTCGCCTGTCCCTTTCCTGAGCCTGCCTTTGCTGCTGGCAGAGGAGCCCAGGGCATGACCTTGGCTGCCGCATCCCTGCTTGCATCCCTGTCCCACACAGCCTGGCTCTCCCATTGCAGCAGTCGTGCATCACCCCATAAATGCCACACACACAGGAGATACAAACTGCAAGCTCTGTTGAAGGATGTGTGTGCAAGCCCAGCGCAGCGCTGGCTCTGCATGGAGCGACGCGGGGCTCCCCTGCAGGCAGCATGGCCTGAGGAGCCGATTTGGGTGCGGGTTTCCCCAGAAAAACCCTTCTCACCCCCAATCGAAGCTGTGCTTAGCGGCAGCACTGGCATCTTGGGCTTTCTCCTGAGCACCATGGTTGTAGGAAAGGTTTCTGGCAGACACAGCCACTCCGAGGACGGGCTCTCACAGCTGCCAGCAACCCCGTGGTGACTCCAGCAGATGCCCCAGTGCTGCAGCTTGAGCAGGGGGTGATGGCAGGGAAAACAAAACCCTGCAAACCGCTGGGACTCGATGCTGTTACAGCGCCCGGGGCGATATCTAACCCAGGGCGTAAGGTGTGAGCTGGCCCCTCGGCAAAGGCGCGTCTGCCCCCACGTCGCGGAGCACGAGGAGGCTGGAGGCAGCGCCGTGCCCGTCATGGGGAGAGCGGGCGGGGCGCATAGCGACGCTCAAACTGCCCCACGTCGAACTTGCGCTTGCAGCCGGCGTAGTTCATGTAGCGGATCTTCCCGAAGACGGCCCGCTCCGCCCAGCCCTGGTCGTGCACGCCGCAGATGGACCAGAGGCAGCCTGCCGGGCGTGGGGACGGAGCGTCAGCCCTTCCCCTTGCTCGGAGGCACCCGCAGAGGAGGTGGGATGGGGGTGCGAAGCAGGATGGGCTGGAGCGTAGGCTGGGTGGTCTGCAGAGAGCCCTCCCCCTGCCCACACCGTAGCCTTGGCCATCAGATGCAAGACCCCCTGCCCCCCGTGCCCCTGTCCTGCAGCTTGCCTACGTATCCGTTGGGATCCCTCCCGTCCAGCTCGTAGCGGTCGTTGAGGTAGATGGCAAACCGCAGGGCCTCCTCGGGGGAGCGAGTCCACTCCAGGATCTTCTTGGCCCAGTACATTCGCAGGAAGCCATGCATCTTGCCCTCCAGGACCATTTGAAGCTGGGGGGAAAGGGAGAGCTACAGAGGGCAGTCCATGCCGGCTCACCTCAGCCCCCCCAGGAGCAAAGGCTCGGTATTCTGTGGGGGAGACACAGGACACTACCTGGGCAGCATTCCACAGTGGGTCATGCGTAGTCCCCTGCTCCAGCTCTTGCAGCTCATAGAGAAAAGGCCTCTTGTCTTTGGCGTGGAGCTTCAAGGTGGTCTGCGCCCAGTCGTAGGCACCTGGGACGAAGAGAGATGAGAAGCAATGCTGAGCAACCTGCTCCTGCAGAGCCTGGAGGGAGGGACAGAAAACTGGGCTACGGTGGGCACTGTGCCCTGGAGGCACCAGTCTTGAAGAAGGGATCCGCCAGCTCCTGTCTGACCTCCAGAAGGTACTGCATGATGGCACATTAGTTCCCCTGCAGCCCCTCTCCTAGCAGAAATGGGATTGCCAAGTTGGGCTGACCAGCTGCGTACTAGACTAGCCCCCAGCATTGCCCACCCGACCTGGGATGCTACCCTGCACGCTGTCGTAGTTCTCATTGTAGTAGCAAAAGTTGTCAGCCAGCTCCCGCCGCACCACGGCCTCCTCCACAAACGCGTCCACCGACTCCTTGTATTTGCCCCGGTGCTTCTGCACCTCCAGGATGGCTCGTTGGGTGGAAACCTGGCCTGGGGACATGAGGAGGGAGTAAGTCAAGCTGCCAGTCCAAGCCACTGTGCTCAGTGCTGCTGCAGAGTGGGAAGCCTGGGACACTCACCGAAGTGGAACCACGGGGACAGGTTGCTGAGTGCTGCCTTGTTGGGGTCATTCCGGTGGGAGCTGAAGGATTTCAGCCGCTCCGTGAGGAAGGACCGCAGCACGGCCAGCCCGGCAGCCGTGCCGGGGGTCGCCCACTCCACCTCCTTCACACTGCGGTCCACCTGCAAGCTGGAATAACAGGCCTCCCAAGCGATGGGCTGGGCGCCAACCAAGCAGCGTGAGTGTGTCTGCAGATCCTCTTCAGCCAGGGCCGCCCTGAGCCTTATGTACCCTGGATGTCCCCAACCAGCATGTCCCCAGCTCATGCCAGCCTTTTCTTAACTGGCCCTGCACGGCAGAGATGTGAAAATTGAATGAATGGGGCAGGAATTTCCCTCCCCCAGGGCACCTCCATCTCCAACACCACTTGCGCTTGACTTCAGGTAGGTCACTGTTCCCATCCCCTGCCACCCCCTCCCAGGATGCTCCATTCAGGAGCTATGAAACTCTCTGGGGCTGGCCTTGAGTGGGTAGGGAGGTGTCTTCCTGCTGGTACCTCTGCTGGACTGGAGGGGGAATATGGGTGACGAATAACAGGGGGGAACTCAGTGAGGAACTCGGGGAGCTGAGCGTGGATCTTGGCCCGGATGGTCCTGGCACTATACTCCTGCTTGGGGGAGGTCACCCAGCAGGGCACGATATTGTGGGCATCAACCTGGGAAGCAAAGGCATAGAGAAGGGTGTGAGCAGGAGAAGCAAATGGTCCCAATGACACGACACCCATGCTCCCTGCTCAGGTCGCTCCAGCACACCTCGGCAGGCACTAAAGGCCGGAGACTAGTTTCTCCCATGTCTCACCAGCCAAATTTTTCCCCTCCCAGAGTGTGGACACCCACCTGTGCGAACGGCACATCCTCTGGCAACTGCTCCTTGACGTCCTCCACCCACTGCCGGGGGAGGCGGAGGGGGCAGAAGTCTGTCACCAGCCCGCCCACGCCATGCTCCACTACGAACGCGGGCAGCACGTCCTTTGCGTAGCCCAGGAGCAAATGGAAGGGGATGTTCAGCTCTGCACACTCCTGCAGAGACGGGGAAAGGGCTAAGGGGTGGTTTATGCCTCTGCAGACCCCATCCCACCATCATCCACTGAAAGGATGGATCTGCATCCCCCCAGCCCAGGAGCCTTGTCCCACCCAGCATAGACATCCCCGCAGCAGCCGTACCTCAGCCACCTCCTGCAGGCCCCTCAGCATGAAACTGTAGTGGCGGATGGTGGCATCCAGGAATTTGGGCACGAGGCAGAAGCAGACGTGCAGAGGCAGCTCCTGTTTGAGGGCCAGGCGCTGGGCGTAGAGGAACGCCCAGTTATCTGGGGAGAAAGCACACAGGGTGGTGGTGTCAGGAGGATGCTTGGCTGAGGGGACGGAGATGGAGTTTCACAAAAGGAATCCCCCCAGTCCCTGCTGCAGAGGAGGAACCATCTCCAAGGCCTGCTGTGGGAAGGGACTGAGGCTTTTGCCACCCGCGGGAGCTCCACTTCCCAGCCCCCTCCACCAGCTGATTCGCACCTTGCACCCGCTGGTCCCGGGACATCCAGTAAAGGATGCACCGAGCGTCATCCTTCAGGTCTGAGCCCTGAGAGACGAGGCGAACCCGCTTTTTGTTGTACTTGAACTCTTGCACGGACGGGGCCGCCCTCCGACGGGCCTCCTGCACCTCCTCCTCTTCCTCCTTCCTCCCCCGAGACACTCGTG